TGAAAAAACTCACATTTTTACAAGAAGAATTGTTTTTGCACTTTTTCACGATGCAATATTTAGTCATACTTTTATTAAAATAAACAAACAACTGAACTTGAATGTACTGCAGTATACAATCCATATTAAGTGACTGTCTAATTATCAATACTAATATTCAAATATCTCCAGAAAACCACCCCTTAGAAATACGATCACTCTATATACAAGTGTACACCGTTAGATACGTAAACATATCGTGATGCAAACAACCGACCACTCTATTAATTAGTTAATAGGGAGGTCGGTTGTGTACATCTAAGCTAAGCCCTCTTCGTGTTATTACTTTATGGAATTATCATAAAATTAAGGAATTTTCCGGTTTACGGTTTATGGAATGGAAACCGAATAATTTCCAAGTTCCATTCTGTAAACGTGAAAAATTCCGGGTTCTATTCCGTAAAGCAGAACAGTTTCAGTTTTATCTTTTACATAAGTTTAAGATGTTTAAATCTAGATCATTTCCATATGTAAACCGTAACCCGGAATTCCGTTGGAAACTCTAGCTCCAAGGATCTTATTCAACCTTTTGGTTTGGATTTAATAATTCTTTGCAATACAAGGGGAGGTAGCGCTGTAAATTGTATTATTCTGTTCTATTTTATTACAATACTGTACATTGAAGCAGTGGTATATAAATACAAGGGGAGGTAGCGTTGTAAATTGTATTATTCTGTTCTATTTTATTACAATACGGTACACTGAAGCAGTGGTATATAAATACATGGCATGCAGGTTCATTGAGGGGTTGGGAGAGAAGGGTTGATTATTTATTGTACCTCTACCCCTTTTTGATTTAAATACTGAAACCGCACTATGTAACTCGGACACGCATTCTGTTAGAACCAATACATACACATTATTGAACCGGAAGTTTGAGCCAGACAGACGTGAAAATAGAATCCAATCAAAGTTTAAAATTAAATTTTATTATATTAAACCAAAGATGGGTGCAAACATTAGATAGATCGACATATAAAAAGGAAATAAAAAACCTAAACTAATAAAACTGTATTTTTCTAATCCGTATATCTTTTCAGCCTGATGTCATAGACCATTAATATTTAAAAATTAGATCTAGCCTAGTGCTTATTTAAAAACATCCAGGGTCAGTTGAAAAGGTATAAAGAACGATTGCAAATGACTGACACAGCAAAGTGCTGAATTTCCGGGCTAATGGAAACACTAAAATAGTTGTGTAATTCATTTATCTTATAACTAAGTCATCATCGATCAAAGTGGCCCTGTATTTAATGTCATAATACAATTATGCTTCTAACTTCGTTTTCCTACATTTTCTTACATCACAGAAAATAAGTCAACACACATTCTTCAAATTATGGAGTTTATATTACTTTGATTTAATTAAATGTATACGGAAGCAAGAGATTTAAAACTATAGCAAAGTTAAAAAGTAAGAAAAAATGAGGCTAAAGTTTTGAAGGTTGTATGAGGAGAGGGTTGTGTTGGAGAAGTTGGAGATGAAGAGGATAATCCTGATCAACTTTCTTGTTGAGTTAGCTTCTTATATATCAAACACAGAAAAAATAAATATCCGCAATATTTTCTTCTTTTATACAGACGATCCTCTCAAAGAGAATTTTAGAACCTTAGATCAAAGAAAACCCAATGATGTGGTAATTTTTTTGAAGCTCTGGAAAGTTATTCGAAAAGTAAAGTAAAAGAAATAAAAACAAATTTTTGTAAAGTCACACATGATCACGACAGAGATGAAAAATTATTAACATTAAACTATTAACATCCGTTGAAAAAAAATTTTCAAATTGACAGAATAAAAAAAATAAACATCTTGACCATCTCCAGGCTTGTATTAAGCAGGTGTGCTGCCTCTAGGGAAACGAAGCCTGGGAAACCAAACCTCCCACTTCATCCTCTTCTCTAACCCCCTCAAGTTCCCAGCCGGAGTAAGATCATCCAAGAATCTTGTCAATAAATGTAAATACAAGTTCTGACAGGCAGGGAAACATATTAGGTTCACTGAACAATTTATTTTTGCACTGCATCAAATCATTTTATAGCAATCCCTTTGATAAGTTAAAATATTCAAAGGCTGCCAGTGCCTTGTTATTGAAATTTTATTTAATTGGGGTTGAAAAGTTTTCTGCATAACTAGAGTTCTGAAACTTATCATTTTTTAAAAATGATAGATGTAGAAGTGATCAAAATATCTGCATTATCAACTATATTTTGATTTTATTCTTTTACTTACTAAGACTTCCCACAATAATAAAAAAACACACAAATGGTTTCAATTTTTCGGTCAAAATATGATAAGACAAAAAAGATCAGTTATTGTATGGGAAAAAAGCTAACGAAGGAATTTACAGAATCAACCTTGATGAAACTTAAACTAGGATGAACTGAACCTGGAAGTAGGAAGAACTAAAATATACGCACTGTGTCTAAAGTGTACGTCCTGATGCACTAGGATAAACTAAAGCTTACGTCCTGAAACTAGGATGAACTAGGACGTCCTGAAGCTAGGATGAACTAAAGTTTAAGTCCTTAAAGTAGGATTAACTAAAGTTTACGCCCTGAGACAAGGATGAACTAAAGTTTACATCCTGAAACTAGGATGAACTAAAGTTTACGTCCTGAAGCTAGGATGAACTAAAGTTTACGTCCCGAGACTAGGATGAACTAAAGTTTACGTCCCGAGACTATGATGAACTAAGGTTTACGTCCTGAAACTAAGATGAACTAAAGTTTACATCTCTTGTGTCTATGCTAAACTAAAGTTTACGTATCCTGTGTCTATGATAAACTTTAGTTTACGTCTCCTGACTCTATAATAAACTTTAGCTTACGTCTCCTAAGTCTATGATAAACTATAGTTTACGTTTCCTGTGTCTATGATAAACTATAGTTTACGTCTCCTGTGTCTATGATAAACTATAATTTACGTCTCCTAAGTCTATGATAAACTATAGTTTATGTCTCTTGTGTCTATGATAAACTTTAGTTTACGTCTCCTGAGTCTATGATAAACTTTAGTTTACGTTTCCGGTGTCTATGATAAACTATAGTTTACGTCTCCTGTGTCTATGATAAACTATAGTTTACGTCTCCTGAGTCTATGATCAACTTTAGTTTACGTTTCCGGTGTCTATGATAAACTATAGTTTACGTCTCCTGTGTCTATGATAAACTATAGTTTACGTCTCCTGTGTCTATGATGAACTATAGTTTACGTCTCCTGTGTCTATGATAAACTATAGTTTACGCCCTGAGACTATGATAAACTATAGTTTACGTCTCCTGAGTTTATGATAAACTATAGTTTACGTATCCTGTGTCTATGATAAACTATGGTTTACGCCCTGAGACTAGTTTTCAGACTAGGGTGTACGTTTATGTCTTATGAGTAATATAGTTTATATATGTGTATGAATATATATACTTCTAAAAAGGCTAGGGTAAGTGGTATAACGTTCTAGGATAATTATAAACGAATGTGGAAATATGTGAGCTAAAGTCGACCTTAGTTCTAGCGGTAAGTAAAGAAAGGAATGCAGTTTTTTGTCCCAACCTCAAATTTTCTAATCCCAATATCTTTGCAACTTGATGGTGTAAATCTTTAATATATCAAATATGGACTATTTGATCGGAAATAACTCATAGTTTGAGATATCTGCAGAGATCTAAAATTAGATCAAATTCATATGTGCATTATATAAATTTACATATATATGTGAAAATAAGTAATTAATTTATACAACACATAATAGCAATGTGAAGATATATGGAATGATCGATTGACCTTCACTTTCCAAACCACTTCATTTTCACTCTGTTTCTGATAATGCTCTCTTTAAAAATTAAAATATGACCAAACTATGGAACTTTAAAAACAATGCTATAATCTTTCTTTGTAATCCTATTAGTAGGACAGAACGATGCAGTTTTATTTAAGCCTCTGAAAACCTCTCAAATAATATCTAAAATATTCAAACTTTTCTTTTCAAAGGAAGAAAACATTTCTTAGAACGATTTCTTGTATTTTATTTCAATTCATTTAAAACAGAATTTATAAATTTTATTTCCTAAGCAATACAAATAGTTGATGATGCATCTTGCGCAAAAATAAAAAATAAAACATTAAAAGATTATTTAAGATACTCAAATGTTTTTGCTACAGTTTCAATCCTGGAATCCAGAGAATGCCTCTTTAATGGATCCAATCCAATAAAAATCACTTGGAATTCAGCCAATATAGTTTCATCAACCTGTCTTTCTTCTTGCAAGATGGAAATGCCAAAGAAGAGTTTTCAGCTTCCAGTTTATCATGTATAAAGGAGGGAAGGTTCCCAAGATTGATTTACCATGAAGGGACGGTGAGCTTAAGGACACCTAAATTGGCACGAAGAATGTAATGAGGTCGTCTGCCCTAACCCTAAAAAGTTGTATTGTAATTGTGAATGATAAACCTTAAGGTCTCAAATGTGAAATAAAAGATCGACTTAAAACAGTAAATCTCATAAACATTATAATGATGAATAACCACGTTTTATACTTTCTCTTTTAAAACTCAAATTTCCTGTCCTTATATCGTTGCAACAACATAGACCTTGATTTTACAAACTTTGACTATTTAATAAGATATCATAGTTTAAAAGAAGAATGGTCTGTGGCTTTCAGATTATGAAGATATAGGGATTAGAAATTAGAGTTAGAGACGCGTTTCCAGTTCCTTTATATATTGTTCTAAATTTAATTTGGGTATTTTGAGAGAAGTTGGATAGTTTTTTGCTAAAGTATGCATAATTATACCTGTTCAGTTTTTATTATAATGTCCTGATTTAATAAATACTATACGTAGGATGTATGACTGTGTAATGTGTAATGGATATAATTTTTTATAATTTTCTGCAAAAACCCCAAATGCTGTAGATGTAATGTCTGATCCATTCTAAAGCCTTTCTATTAACCATTTCAGATTAAAATGCTAATTTCTTAAAAGCCTTCTGTATCACAGAGAAAAAGAGGAATCAAAAACTTACAACATGCTTGGAAGCAGGGTTCAAGTACACCTTGAGGTGGGATAAGAATACTTTTTATTCCTTAAATCTGCATCAGCAGGGATTCGTACCTGGAACCAACAATAAAACTTCGATTTTAAGATAATGATGAATTCTAAATTCATTCTAAAATCGGAAAATGAGAAATAGAGAACAAGAGGGACGATAATGATAAACTGAAAATATACGGGTTTAAATGCCAGGATAGATCGGAGAGAATCATGTTCCAGGGGAGAGTTTTCAGATTGATTCACGAACCCCAGGAAGATTGAACAATAAACCCCAGGAAGATTAAACAATAAACCCCAGGAAGATTGTACCAGTAACCCTAAAAAGATTGAACCAGGAAACCCAGGAAGATTGAACCAGGCAATCCAAAATGATTGTACCAGAAACCTCAAGAAGATTGAACCAGGAAACCCAGGAAGATTGAACCAGAAACCCCAGAAAGATTGAACCAGGAAACCCAGGAAGATTGAAAAAGGAACCCCAGGAAGATTTTGGCAGAAACCCCAGGAAGATTGAACCAGGCAACCCAAAATGATTGTAACAGAAACCCCAAGAAGATTGAACCAGGAAACCCAGGAAGATTGAACAAGGAAACCCAGGAAGATTGTAGCAGAACCCCAAGAAGATTGTACCAGAAACCCCAAAAGATTCAACTAAGAATCCCCAGAAGATTGAACCAGAAACCCCAGGAAGATTGAACCAGGAAAGCCAGGAAGATTGCTAAAAGAGTTATGTCAAATGAGCTTGATTCAGCAAAGGTAATTTTATCCATTTATATTCCACATTTTGATAATATTCCCCTATAGAAAATTTCCTGTAGCACTGGGACTGGGAAAATCTGTGATTAACAGGTTTTTGTATAATGGTACAGGAAGCAGGGCCTTCAACAATAAAGGTAGATTATATATTTGTAAAATTAATTATGTTTTATAAAGGTCGGAGATGGTAACCCTGTGTGTTTGGTTCTGCATTTTTTCATGGAGAAATGATATGGTTTGTGGAGAAAAAAATGAAATAAAGCAACCCTCTGATGAGTCCATTCGATACCCCTCAAACTCCTTATCATCCTTTCATTCCAAGACTCCATCTGCCTCCAATCCACCATCTCAACCTTCTCATCCGTCTTTAACCTCCTCTCCCTCTCCCTCATCTTTTACTGATCTAATATCTCACACGTCCGACACAAGATTTCAGACAAAAGGTAAAAATCGTTTCAATGAAATTTGATTAAATTATTAACTATAGACGTAATAGACTCATCATTTAAAATGAGTGCAATTTCCGATTCACAACGATACCCTTTAAACCTTTTCGGGTCATCTTTTCTATGTAAGACACTCAATGTGACATATTCATTCCGTGACGTCACCTGGTTTCCGAGCGATCCTGTTTAGTATTTGCCGAATAAAACTTTTATTAAAACTAATTCAAATGCAGTGTTAATTTCTGTGGTTTCTGGAAAAAAATAATATTTTTGAAATATGAAACAGCTTGAAGAAAAATTAAAACCAACGGAAAGGAATTGAGTCTTTGCTACAATTTCAAATTTTCTAATCCCTATATCCATGGAACCTGATGTTGTAGACTTTTGATATTTCAAACTAAGATAATTTGATGCAACAGAATTCATAGTTTGAAATATCTAAGGTCTACGACATTGGGTTGCAGAGATATAGGAATTAGAAAATTAGAATTTGTGACAAAGACTCAATTCCTTTCAACCCTGAGGTTTTAAATGATAAACTCGAGAAGCGTATAGTTAGTTGAATCTCCATAGGGTTTAAACTTCCATTAATTTTTCTGAGAGTAAATGGTATTTATTTTTAAATATCTGGTTTTAACATGGAAATGCATAAATATGTTTTAGATTAGCGGGATTCAGTGAGATTTTTCAATATCAAAAAAAACATCTTTAAAAAAAAGAATGCATAATTATTGACACAGAAAAACAAGGATAACTTCGTCATCATTGATTAGGTGAATGTTTAATGGTTACCGTTTTCAATCGGATATGCCACTCTATAAATGTAGGGTCACTAAAAATTACGGATACAGAAAAGTACCCCTTCCACCTTACAAAATCTTCTCCTTTCATACAATTAGCAAAAAAACTAAGAACGACAAACACGGAGAAAAAAAAAATCATTTTAAAATTTAATTTTTTCAATGGTTCTGATTTAATTATGTTCCACTGTGGAGGTTTATTTCTGTTTTCATATTCTTGATTTCTTGCAGCAGGACAATTATTTCTCACTTTTCTAAACTATTTTATTATACCATAAAACACTATATTTAACACATACAAATCTTGCTTATTTCTAGAATGTCTAGAATTTTGTGTCGATATTGTGTATATATATGTTTGCACTTACATACTAGTGAGGTATTTAAATATGCATATAATATCAAAGATGATATTTATTTTATTATGTTAATATATATCGAAGATATGAGGTTCTAGACTCTTTATGTAAACATTATTCAAATAATAGTAGGTTGTCTCAAATCTTTTGAATCTTGAACGATATACAGGTTGTTTTATTAAAGATGAAAATCAACTGATGATTTTTAAATCGTCTTTAAGAAAGCATTTTTTTAATTATTCGAATTTAAGTTTTCAAATGTATGAAAGGACTCGAGTTTTTGTCATAAACTCAGATTTTATGATCCCTATATCTGAGCAACCCATTGTTGTAGACCTTAGATATGTCAAACTATGAATTCTGTTAGATCAATGTTTGAAATGTCAAAGGTTTAATCCATCAGGATGCAAAGATATAGGCATTAGAATATTTAATTTTGTGGTAAAGACTAAGTTCTTTTGTCCAAAATTTTAATTATGAAATAGAATAATAAGTGTCCAAATATGGTTTTAATATTTGTGTCAATTGACAGCCTTTAAAATATATCACACAGTATTTCAAGTAAGAATTGTGTACATCGAGGGGCGGATACAGGGGGGGGGGGCGGGGGGACATTCGCCACCCACTGACAGATTTTCAGAATAGCATGCTTAAGGGAAAGAAACCCTAGTGCAAAACAGGAAAAATATCTGTCTTAATAAACTATAATGTGTGAAAAGATAAAAATTTAGTTTTTTAGTCTTTAGTCAGTAATATTGACTCTTTTTGAGTCTTTTAAGTCAAAAAAAAATTTCGCCTGCAGCGCGATTTTTTATTCCTAATTATGAATTGTTTTGTTCCTAAAAATCTTCCCCCCCCCCCTTACTTAAATCCTGTATCCGCCCCTGTACATAGAGCAGTTTTACAAAACTACTTAAACAATTCTTTGTTCTGTATGTCTATCTATGTTATACGTCACAATATGTAGCTTCTGACCGATGCTTAAAGTAAACTTTTAAAATGAAAATAACATAATTTTATCTCAATGCCCTGAAGAAGAATTTATGTATATATTTAGGCTTGGATAAACCTGAGAGTTTATTTATCTTTTTCTCCGATACCAGTCTAAATGCTGAGACACTAAGGCAAGGGATCATGATTTATTCTTGTGTATTGAGCAGAAGAATTCAGTGGAAGGGAGAACGATAACACAAATACTAAAATTAAATTAAAAAAAATATTAATCAATTATTTTATCATAGTTCATCCTTAAACAAAAATCATTTAAAACAAAGGAAAGGGGGATAGGTTATATGCACACATTTTCTGTTACATATAAGGACTTATTTATTTATAATAAATCTAAATGTGCGTGTTGTCTCCAAGCAAAAAAAAATGACATTTTTCATTTTTTTTGTAACCAATACCCATTTAGATTAATTAAGTTTGTAGTCAATTATCAATTATCTGTTATTATATCAAATTTTGATATTTTTTTTTAACAGTTTTTCAAAACAATCTTTTTCATCCTGTAACCACTATGACTTTTTATATATCAATACAACTCAAATATCCCTGTATTGGTTAGGTTGCCTACTGAAATTCAGCATCATGGTCCTTCTGTGAGCTATCGTGACACGAACATAGATCAGGATCAAAGATGGGAAAATCAGGAAAGATTCAAGAATGAGGTTGGAGAAAATTTTGAAAAATGTGAAAGTTCACTAAAGGAGGAATATCGAAATTTTAAGAACGGAGAGAAGAGAGATCAAAGTGTAAACTTGAGGACTGGAAGGAAGACGAAAAATAATGATAATATGCGGGGGGAAAAGTTTGAAATACATTCTGATATTCTTGAAAAACAACAGCTTTCAACTTTACCAAGTGATAATAAACTTTCAGAAGAACCCAGGAAACCAAGACTTTCAAGTAGTTTAAACTTTTCTAATTACAGTTCATCTTTAGACATGGAAGAACGAGAAATATATCAAGCCAGAAATGAAAGAATTCCGGGGAATCATGAAGCCAGCCGATCCAATATATCTACCGTAACAAATATATCTTATAGATCAAATACAAAATATATATCTAAACGTTCCGAAGGGTCTGATCCAGCTGATTTATCCTATTACTCTGGTAACCCTGATAGATCTATTAAATCTATTAAATATGATGGAACTGATAGATCTAGGAGAGAGAGAAGAGACCCAGATATTACCACCCTAGGCAATAGAGGGGTAAGACGGAGCCAAGAAGGATTGGTTTCTCAATCTATACTGCGACATACGCTCAACAGGAATAGTTCTAAATAAACACGTTCGAATCTTAAAATTTGAAGAAACTTGTTTAATAATTTTATGCAGTGTGGCCCATAAAACTGTGGATTAAAATCCAACAATTGTACGGTGATGTACACAGACCCATTTCAATTACACAAAATATTGTTTAAATGTTGTCTTCCAATTCCACAGTTTCATGGAACCCACTGTAGATACTGTGCCTAATGGTAAAATAAAAGTAAATTGGTAATATAAAGCTAAATTGTAGATCTATTTTCTTCAGTGAAATCACCCCAAAAAAACTTAACACTGATCAAAGCAATAAACGAGGTGCCAGATCTAAACGAAATGAGATGTTATCTCGGCAAACCAACAATCCTAGTTTTAACCCTGAGAAAGAATCCTATTCATGGATAAACCCGGAGCGTGAAGATAGTATTGTCTCAGGGGCATATTCACCAAATAATGAAAATTATTCATTGGACTCTAATATTTATTCAGGACCTAGACTGTATTCTTTTTCTGGAAAATACAATTTGAGCTCAAATCAATATCATACAACGCAAAATAGGCCAAACAGTGATGATTATCATAGAAATACTGGTACATATCAACCCGGTGAACAAAATCAAAAAAACATCAAGCCATATCAACGAACTACGTTCGTATATCAATATCCACATCCTATAGTTCAGCTTAATCATAGGAGACACCAATCCAACAATGCAGATGATCCCATTTTCATAAATCGGAAACATAAAAACCAAATGTTATTGTCAAAACAAGCTTTAGTGAGAGAATTTTATCCTGGAGCCAACTTTAAGACAGGGCAACAAGTTAATCCTAGCCAGGGAATTAATGCCAGAACTAATATTAAAAAGATCGGGTTGAATGAGAATGGTTTGGAAGTATCGCAAGTTCGAATCAACCTGCTGGCTGGAGTTGCAAAGAGAAACGCTGCTCAGGGTAAAGTAAACTACAGGGAGGTTGAGAAGAGGATACTGGACGGAATTCTTGGTCCTCAGGTGTATGACAATAGAATGCGCCCTCATGTAAGTCCTAATTATATACTAAATACCTTTTATTTCTCTAGTCAGATTATACCATTTTCTAGTTTTTAAAATTATAATGCAAATAATGATAATAATAGTTAGAAAGGAACTGATTTTTGATGGCACTTTGGTCTAGCTCTTCAGAGTTGCATCAATGAAAACTATCGCTTTCAGTGAATCATAAATATTTCTAAAGTGTCGACATAATTACAATTTAACGTACCTTTATTCAAAGACTTGCATGCCCGATTAAAATGGTACCCTTTGGACATTAGTCTCAGCCAAACTGATGAAGAAATACTTGTTTTTCTATATGAAAATTGATGATTTTTGATTGGGGGTTTTCTAGAAAAGTATCTTGCAGAGTTATGTTGCAGAGAAGAAAAAAATAACTTAATTCAATATTTTTCAAGAAAATAAATGACGCTTTCTTCCGCATTGTTCCTTAGGTAAAGGTTTAAATGATACCGTTGTGAGTTGGTCATGCATGATTTTAAAGGGGGGAGGGTCACTCAAATTATGTTGACCTTCACTAAAACTATGAATTTGGCAAAATAAAAAAAAAGCTGTAATTGATGATAGAAAATTACTTATAACTTTAAAGTATAAAAATGTAATAGGGTGAAAATTCTACAAATGGAGCAACTAATGTACATGTAAACCTGTATATTCGAAGCTTTGAAAAGATTGACGATGTCAAGATGGAATACAGTCTACAGATTACTTTCAGGTTTTTATATATTTATACATAAATGTGTAAGAGCAACAAACTAATATACATTTATTTCGATAAAATTAACAACTGTTTTCTTTTTTCTTCACATATTGTATATTTCATTTTTTTTCTTGTAGGCAACAGTGGAATGATAATAGACTAAAGTATGATAATATAAACGGAAGAATTAAATATCTTACGATGACAGAAAAATCTAAGGTATTCAGGGCAAAATACTCTCAATTTTAAAAAATAATTTTGTATCCTTTATTCTTTATCCTGAATCCTGTTTATTCTCTTCATAACCTGTATCCTTCATTTTGTTCATTTTGGTTTTCAGTGTTCTGTATTCCTGTATTGAGTATTCTGCATCATGTAACTCTTTTAACCTTTATATATATTCCAGCCAAGATCAATGATCCATTTCTGCATCCTTTATTCCATATCATGTTTCCCGTATCCTGCCACTTGCGTTCCATTTACAATATCGTGTAATTGTGTACCTTGTATTCCAGTGTGTATCCTGCATCCAGCAACCAGTGGCAGTATACAGCCTGTAACCAATGTGTATTCAATATCCCATTTCTAAAACCTTCTTCCTGTATCCAGCAACCTGTATCTTGTATCCTGTATTCCGTATTACAATGTATTAAACTTGTGTATCCTGTACCCTGTTAATATTATAACAAGTAAAATTATATCTTGACTCCAGGTCTGGATGCCTGACACATTCTTTCGAAATGAAAAAATTGGGAGATTTCATCAAATTCTTCAACCTAATCTGTATGTCAGGTACATACATATTACACACATAGTACATAGTTATTAAATAAATAGTAAATACAATACATACAAATTACATACAAAGTATATACAATTACATACATAGTACATACATATTACATACATAGTACATACATATTACATACATAGTACATACATATTACATACATAGTACATACATATTACATACATAGTACATACATATTACATACAAAGTATATACAATTACATACATATTACATACATAGTACATACATATTACATACATAGTACATACATATTACGTACATAGTACATACATATTACGTACATAGTACATATATATTACATATATAATACAAACATAGTACACAACCAGACATTACATTTTTACATTAGATCGTTCAATTAATATCTTATCTTATAGTCTGCTATAAGAATAGAAAACATGATTTGGCTTAGAACTTGAATAAAACCAATATTGTATCCACTCAAGATTTGTTGGTTTTACAAACAAATGTTTGCTTCAATTTTGAATAAATCAATTTCAAAATAGCTTTTGTCTAAATTCAAACATAGTAATAGTTTTTTTTAAGCTCAAAAACTTTGCCCCTTTAAAAAATTTCGACCTTAAAAATACACATGCATGCACACACATACAGACTCTCATATATAAGGATGTCAGGAAAATGTATAGTAAACTTGTTAACAAAGAAATTGAATCTTTGCCACAATCTCAAAATTGTTCGACACCGATCTAATGCAACTTAATTATAATCGAACATCTAAATATCTAAGGTCAACGATATAGATATAGCGATTAGAAAATCAGAGTGTTTAGCCTTTAAAAATCTAAATTATCATATTTGTTTTTAAAATTTTTTTTTTTTATTTCAGAGTTTTTCCTGACGGGGATATTCTTTACAGTATTAGGTAACAAATATTATTTAAAAATATTTTTTATTTTCAAGAATTCTTCTTTAGGAATTACTTTGATCAAAAGCTCGGGATTGGGGATTACGGTTCAATGGAAAAATATATATTTTAATCTGTAAATAAGCTTCAACGCTATATGTGTGTATTACTTTGGTTCAATAATCAGATTTAGAAAAAATATTATTCTAACTTCTAAAATACATAACGTGGACGAAAACGGGGTTATTTATTACCAGTCAGGATTATAAAGTATTTTGTGGCTATAACTAAAATTTTCAGTTCTTTTTATTTCTGAACTCTAATATTCAGAGTATCTCTGACTCTCTCATGCCCGATGAACCTAAAGCTATTTCCCTTGGATACTCAGGTTAATAAATAAAAATCTATTAAAAACTTTTCTGAAGATGATTTGAAATTTTTTTAAAACTCAAAAATCAATTTGCCTAAATTCATCACCCAAAAATGCAGTTTTTCCAAATCACTTAATTCACTTTTAAAATGTTTTAAGAAAACATATTTTAAAAAACTTGCTAAATAGTAAGAATGTTACAAAGCCCATGGTAGTTTTTTTATATAACCGTCATTGAGGAATGTGGATTTATCAATTAAATTATAGTTTTTATGGTTTATGTTATCAAATTGTAGACTTGTCATCTTCAAGTTGCTAGCTATGGTTGGACAACTCTAGACTTAGAATACTCGTGGAAGGACCCTGCTGTAGAAACAGTCAAGGTTAGCTTTCATTTTTATCAAATCCGTCCATCCGCCCGATTATGATATAGGGCGATTTTGGAACGATCTTTTCTTCTTTTTCTGTAAGCTATTCTCTAAATAATTTGTTTAATCAGATTTTTTTCCTAATACTCAATGAATCACAAGATTTGAGTTCATTTTTTATGACTACATCTTGATCCAGATCATGAGCTGTTAAAATATAATTTTTGTTAAAAAACAAAAGAGGTTTGTATGTTTCTTATACCTAAAGAGGTTTGTATGTTTCTTATACCTAAAGAGGTTTGTATGTTTCTTAAACCTAAAACCTTTTAACTTTATATTTTATTTTTCGTAGAAAAGAGCTTTTTAAAAATTGATCCGTTTTCTAGATAATTAGATCAAAACTTTCATATTTGTAGATTGAATGCACTTACAGACAACTCTTTAATGCTTTTCATCTAAATTTTTATTATTTAGAAAACACATTTGTTTAGTATTTTAATATTTGGCTAAATAACACAATTATTTGATACTAACATTAAATATTTTAGTTTAACGTACAATTGTAAACTTCTCCATGATCTAAATTTGAACATAGTTAACAATATTTGAAACTAATCTATTCAGATAAAAATATCAGAGTCCGAATGTAATGAATTTGATCCGCGTCTAAAATCCGCCAAAAACCGGTTTCAATTGAGCGCCGGCTTAAATCGTGAAACATTGAATACAATTTTAAGTGGAACCAACCATATTTGAGCCGCGTCTCAAATTTTAGCTCAAATTCTTTAAATTCGGCCTCATTCTTAAATTCTCATACTTACAACCTTTAACCACGGCTTTTTAGTGAGCCGCTTCAGTATGATAATATACACGTTCGAAAACTCCTCCTTATTCAGTAGTTTATAGTTGGATCTAAATCTGTAATATTCATCATCAATGAATAGAAGTATTCTGAATCTATATTCTATATCTTTACAAAACTCTGTAGAATATAGATTTGATAGCGTAAAACAGGAAAAACAACCCAAAACTTTACCAAACAAAAATTCTATTTAAAACGGTATTAATATAGGATCTATTTCTGCCTGGTGGATTTGAACTCGCCAACTATAATAACAGTAGATGTAATGTGAAAACTGCCACAGGTAAGTTAAGAAGTTTTTATTAGAAGTTATTGCCAATTCCTCTATGAAAATTTGTCTGGTAGGTGATTAGTTATTTTCCAAAAAAGGTTATGGACTTATAACGTTTGTTCATAGAGGAAATGGCGTAATAGAGCAAACGTCGTGGTTTATACTCTATAAGGATCAGAAAAGCAAATGGCCATAGAGCAAATGGTAACAGAGCAGATGTCGTAGCGCCCGAATTTTTATTTGAAAAAAGACCAATGCATGCATATTTTCGAATTATTTGTATTTGTGCCTTTATTCACAATGTTTGAAATATACTGCCTTGTTTTGTTTGAGTAAATATATATTGATATTGTTAACTAGATGAAACTGAGTTTGATAAAGAGCAGAGGCATTATTGTAATAATTATTGATATAATCATTAATCTAAGTTCTATAACTAATATTTACGCAAAGATGTGTGTATATTTCATGATTAAAGTATTTTTTTCCCAGTAAAATCCCTCGTCAAAGGCACATCTATTACATTTTTAACATTAGGTTATTTAAATTTAGGCTGAACGTCATATTACTTGAATACAGTTTTCGATTGAGTGCTTCAAGGGAAGGGTATGACAAATTTCGAAAATCGTGAACTTAAAATTATCGATAAATAAAATCACAATTGGGGAAAAAATATACACTTAACTATGCCAAAGAAACAATAAACATTTTCGTGCACACATAGAGTAGAACTGACGGGTAAGGCTGTATTTATAGAAAATATTCAGCCTTTAATATTAGCATAAGGTTTAACAAAGTATGGATATTCACTTTTAGTAAGTGTGGGACTATATGGCACTTTTTTGATAAATGGTTACACCTTTCAGCACGTGTCCTAAAAGTTTCTATAGTAAAAAGTGAATTTTTGTTTATATTAATTTGTTAGTTCAAGCCAAAATGTTTTTTTCAAAATATGTCGAAATGGGTATCACAATATCCGTCTTAAAACACTGAATCCAAAGACGTTAAATCATTAAATAAAAACCAAAAACCATTAAAAAAATGAAGTTTAAATGAACAATTTTTGCTGCGTGTTAGTAACTTTTTTGCCAAAAAATTCATGTCTTGCCAGGGGTACTTTTCAATAAGAGATGTGCCCAATGTTCCAAAAGTATATATATAGCTCTCAACCTTTTTTCATTTTTCAAATAAATCAGATAAAATATGTAATAACTTTATGATTTATGATAATAAATAAAATTTCTCCGGCAAAACCGCTTAGATTATTTTAACCGAATATTTTAATTGTCATATGTTGTTTTCCTACTTTTTGAAATTTTGATTTTATGTGTATTATGTAAAGAATCCCTTTAAAAAATAATCTTCAACTAAGCTAAAACTGATTACCTCTGATCTATAATAATTAAAAAAGTTTAAGCAAACCCATCTTAAAAATATATTTTTTTCTTAAGATGATATTTCTTTTTTAAATTATTTTTTTCAAATATTTAAAAATAATGTTTTTAAATTTAACCCCGGACACTTGAGCTAATGTAACAATACTACCCGACCCTTCCCTACTAAAAAGTATAAAAGTGAGATATTGCATACAATACACCATGTTATAGAGGACGTGAGTCGGACTCTAATAAAAACGCATAGATAACTTCCAGTATATATATATATATTTCTTATAACTTATTACTAGAGGGTTCAGAATAATCGTTATTGTCGAAATCACACGTGTAGATGTTTTTGTACTAATGCCCCGTATCCGTTCTATCTCATTCTGTTGAATCTTGTGGAACTTGTTTAAGGCGGACAGGAGTCGTCTTCCACAATGTATTACTTTGTATACAATGCATGCTTTCTGTGTAGATTGTGGATGTTAAGATCTAAAATACAGGATTACCCAAAATAATGGGACGGTATGAAGATTTAAATTTTTGTACTTATTTAAGTTTTAAAAGAAATATATTATATTATCAGACAAAGTTTATAATTCCACTGGAGGGATTCGGATATCCATTCCGGGGGTTTATAATCCACTGGAGGGATTCGGATATCCATTCCGGGGGTTTATAATCCCACTGGAGGGATTCGGATATCCATTTTGGGGGTTTATAATCCCACTGGAGGGATTCAGATATCCATTCAGGAGGTTTATAATCCACTGGAGGGATTAATATATCCATTCCGGGGGTTTATAATTCCACTGGAGGGATAACAGATATCCATTCTGGGGGTTTATAATTCCACTGGAGGGATATAGATATCCATTCTGGGGGTTTATAATCCCACTGGAGGGATTGATATATCCATTCTGGGGGTTTATAATCCCACTAGAGGTATTCAGATTTCCATTCTGGGGGGTTTATAATTCCAATGGAGGGATATAGATATCCATTGTGGGGATTTATAATTCCACTGGAGGGATTCAAATATGCATCCAGGTCATTTTTGAGATCACTGGAAGGATTCATAGTTCAATCCTGTCGGTTTAAAATTCCACAGAAGGGATTGAGATATGCATCCTGGGAACTTTTATTTGGAGGAATTTCTGAATCCCTCCAGTGGAAATATAAACCTTCAGGAAGAATATCTGAATCCCTCCAGTGTAATTCAAAACCAACAGGAAGGATATTTGAATCCCTCCAGTGGATATTTAAACCTCCTGGAAGGATATCTGAATCCCTCCAGTTGAATTTTAAGGCTCCAGGACGGATATTTTAATTCCTCTAGTGGAATTTCAAACCTCCTGGAAGGATAATTAAATCCCCCCAATGGAATTTTAACCCTCCAGAAAGGATATCTGAATTCCTCCCGTCGAATATATATCACCCTGCGGAAAGTTTCAACTTGTAAAAAGCGATTTTCCAAACCCCTTCAGAAAAATTTAAATCCCTCAAGGGATCTCCAGTGGAGTAGAAGTCTTACTTCGAACTAATTTGAGACAATAACATTGATATATTTTTTCAAGGTGAAATTTATTTTGATATTTAATTTTTTTCTTCAACTCATTGAGCAACCCTTCCTCAAAAAATGTGTATGTTAAGGGCTACTAAAAAGTATAGAAGTAAGTTAACATATAGCCAAAACGTTGATTTTGCATGCAATGTTTATTGGCAATGTATAGCCTTACAAATAACTTTTCAAGAAAAGAAAAGCATTGAAAAAGAAAATTACTTGCCATTTAAGATGACAGGAAAAAAAATATTTAGCACGGAATATATAATACAATTGATAAAAAATAAGAAAATATTTTATTGAGATTTAAAACCCGGGCAATGTATCCTGTACGCATTTAAACTGTAATTACTTTAGTTCAGAATGGAATTTATTTTATAAACAGAATTATTATTAAATAAAGTAGAGCTTACTATCGACATCTTTTGTTAAGAATTAGAACTATGCATTTCTGTACAAGTTGGATTTAGGTTCCCGGTTTACAGCATTGGAATTTCGCGGATTTTCAAGATTTAATATTTTTTAAATTCAAGGTGAAAGAAAAAATTATAATGAACTTAAAACAGTAAATAAAACCATTCAAGTCATAAAACTTAACCATTTATTTCACTAAATCACTTCTACTCTTTGTATCCCTAGACATTTACATCTTGAAATTATAAAGCACTTGGATAACTGTGGATAAATAGAATCTCAAAAACGTTCTTTATTTTTTTTTTACAACGCATTACTATTTAGATAAATTATGAATGGTTCATCTTGTTCATCATGTATTAAATGCAAACCACTCTATAATATTAGATGATGTTTTAATAAGTTGGCATTAAGGTTTATTAAATTATTTTAATTAAATTAAATTATTGCACAATGCCAATTTATAGAAAATCATTCACAGTCAAAATAATGTACAAGTCAGAAAATACAAATTCTCATTAAAGTGATAATTCGATGTTATAATAAAGCTCTTTGCTCTTACATAAAAATGTCTGTTTATTTTTTAATTTTAATTTTAACAATAATTATGAATTTTTAAAATATTGGGTACTGATCGTACAAAAATACTCTATTATAATTCTTCTTGTGTCATTATATTATGTATAGTTACAGCTAGCCAAAAGGGTGGACCAAATAAATGGGCTCAAATAATTTGACGGAGCCCAAGGGTACCCTGGGGGTAAAAAAGGCTTTGAAACTTTGAAACTTTTTTCATCGAATTTTTTTTTATTTTCAAAATTTTTTTTTTAATTTAAAATTCCATGGGCAACGCCTCTCACTTCAGCTAGTTTATCTATCTAATAAATATTTTCGCTATCATGTATATGTTAACTAAAGCTTGTCAATTTTTCAATTTAATTCCGAAGAACTAAATTGAAAATAGAAAATCTGCTGAAAGGAATATCAGTTCACTAAAATAGTGTTCAATTTATTTCTCACAGTTCAAAAGGGTCAGTAAAAAAAATATTGATAAAAGGAAATGAGTCTTTGACACAAACTCTGATTTTCTAATTCCTATATCTCTGCAACCCAATGTCCTAAACCTTAGATATTTCAAACTATGATTTCTGTTGCATCAAATTATCTTAGTTTGAAAGATCAAAAGTCTACAACATCAAGTTTCATGGATATAGGGATTAGAAAATTTGAGTTTGTGACAAAGACTCAATTCCTTTGCCAACACTTTAACTAAGGCTAAGAAAGACTTTAAGCCACAGTCCACACTAGCCCTCATTTAACATCAATTGTGTTTAGGTGAGTACAGCTGCCTGTCTGTTGACATGGTATTTAAACGGCAGCTGTCCTACTATATTGTGACTATTTATGTTCCAACCTTCATGATAGTTTGTGTCTCCTGGATGTCCTTTTGGTTAGATCATAAATCCGCCCCCGCTAGGGTTGCACTTACAGGTAATAAAATGTAATACGTTTTCATAAAACTGCTACTTTTGCAAATACGACATTTTGGGATTTGCAATGAATACAAAGGTACAGACTACAGGAAAAGCGTACTGTACAAACAGAACTAGTCATTGATGAACTTTAAATAACTGGATGAATAGAGTAGTTTGAAGGCTTTATTGTTAAAGAATCGCTGCGGCTAGGACTACACTACAGAACGAATTGGAATATATCCAGAGAGAACAGAATACACACTACGCTCTTCAGGTTATTATCATTATTTTTTTACAATTATACGAAAAATTACTTTAGGTGTTACCAAAACGAACTTGACCAATACAAGATGTTATCTATGTATATCGAAATGTAACCTATAGGAAAATGTACTCATATAACGTTATTGATTCTAAACATATTAGAATTGATACAATAGTTTTATGCTTTTGAAAAATATTCAGATTTCAAAATCGACAGATATAAAAATATTGGAAAACTTAAAACTCACAAGTAACTTAGTTCTTGTCAAAATACATTGAGACCTAGAAATCCATTAACATGGTTTGGTAGTGTTATTTTAGTTTTATATGCCGTAATCTAGATATATATATTGTATACATTATGGAGAATTCTACATGGGTGTTTTTTAATATACATGAAAAATCAGAGACGAATTGTAAATCATCTTAGATTTCTGACAAATGACAAAGAGTGTATAAAAAAATGAACAGCTTTTTAGCTTTTAAACGTGGTCTTTCTTCTCTGTATCTTTCAAATTGACAGAGATACTAAAGAACAAATTTCTAAAAATATTAGACCTCATTTTGAAAATTCCTAGGCTTATAGTTTTCATTGTCTGTGACACTTCTAAAGGAATTGAGTTTTTGCCACAAAATCAAATCTTCTGATCCCAATATCTTTGCAACCTGATGGTGCAAACCTTTGATATTTCAAACTTATTATTTTATCTATAAGTATTAATAGTTTCAAATATCTAAGGTTTACGACATTGGGTTACAAAGATATAGAGATTAGAAAATCAGAGTTTGTCGCAAAAACTCAATTCCTTTGTGTTCAAAAATAAAGCACTTTGGAAGAAAAACATTGTAGAAGTCATTACTCAATAAATATTTTTATTGGAACATTCTGTAGCTTATAAACTCTCATTGTAGGTTGAAAAGTGGGTGAATATTTCCAATTACCTCTTATTTAATACAGTATCTATAGGATAAGGATGAGTTGTATGAAACGGATCCACATATCCGGCGAATAGAAGGAGCAGATCGAAGCAACCTGCTCTTTGCCCAGCTTGTTCCTTACGAGCTTTCGGTCAGATCGGTGCTAGCGCAATGGCCGAACAAATATAAACCAGGTTACTTTTTAATTCAATATATTAAACAATAATACACAGGGTTACCCACAAAGGATGAGACTGTAAAGACGACCCAAGTTGAAGTTTGCCTTTCGGTTTTTTGAGTATTTTGATGGTTTACTAAATGATTAAGAACAAAGATAAGCTAGTTTTGGGAACCCTGAATGGAATGAAATGGACTAAACAAATTCCGTACAATCGTCTCTGAAGTCTCATCCTTTGTAGGTAACCCTGTACTTACAGCCATCATCAGTATGAAGCGGAATGAAAGTCGGCTTTGCTCAAGCTTTTAACTAAACTAAATATTTTATAATTTGCAATTGTTATGACTGCTGTGTATAATCTGTAGTTTTAGAGTTATACCATTCACAAATAACAAACGTTTCTAAGTAAAAGACTCAAAAACTTTACTTCATTCCTATTTAAACCAGGGAGTAAGGAATAGATGTACATTTACTGCGTATACAATAAGCTATTCTGAATATTTCATATCAAATGGAGTACCCGTCTGCAAAGCATGTATTATCATATGGTAGGGCGAACCACGTCATTTATATCTCCCTTCTATTCCTTACTCCGTGGATTAAAACTGATTAAAACTGCATTACATATAAAAGTTTGTATAGACTTAAACTATTGGGGAATAACTCTACACTTGTGTGTACAGCAAAGGGAAGTAAAGGGAGTAGATCCCGACATAAATGTTCTTAAAATACAGTTGGGAATGGAATCAATTTTAAAATTATCTAAATAAATGATAATGTAACATTGGCAACTTGACAGTCCTATGAATGTTTAACTTTAATTTGCTAAAATTTTTATCATACAATATTACTTTCTAAAAACAGACTTTTACGAAAAGATTTCCTTAAGAAGAAGTGATGGTGGTCTTTAACTGAAATAAAAAGTAATAATCGAAATGTTTAATGATTATTGGTTTGAATTTTGACCGGCCTTAACGTTCTTCCTTGGCCGAGGTCACACCAAATTTTGGGCCAAATTTAAATTTTGTTGGATACAAAAACGAACTAATCAACAAATAGACAAACTAAATATATTTAAAGATAATTTGCCTACTTTAGATTTTAAAGATTCAAGAATATTTTCATTTCAACTCAGTATTAAAAATACGAAATTTTTCCAGTTCAAACGGATTTTCTATTTTTTCATTTCGAATACAGGGTAAAGATGGTTCCAACAAAATTCTAAAATTAAAATTTAATTCAGTTTACATCCCCTGTCCAACTTAGCCTATACATTACATTAGAAAATGTCAACATTTTAACAATATTATTATTAATTACTGTTTTATGTTTAATCAGGAGCTAAAAAGATAGATGTTCTGAGTAGAATAATGTTCCCTGCTACATTCATGGGACTCAACGTGATGTATTGGTCCTACTACCTTACTAGAAATCCGGTAAATACATTTAATTAACTTGCACAACCAAATACTTTATGTAGTAATGTAAAGGCTTAAAAAAGATAAAAAGGTTAAAGAAATTTTTAATAATATCTCTCTTTTTCTTTTCCGTCTTTTTTGTGCCTTTTACACCTGAAAGAATGGACACCTTTCCTTGGTTAAAGCGTTAAAACTCAATTTAAAAGTTCGCATCTGATATCAAGTTAAGTCGCTGAAGTAAGCAATATCCCAAATTAAAAGTTTCTGCCTCTTTAAAAATATAATTCTAACTCACTAAAAAGGTAACTTTAACAATGGCGGTGTCACAAATGTACATTTTGAAATTTTCCCGTTAAAGGGACTGTGGACGAAGTTTAAAGTGATCAACCGTGCACAAAGGGCAATATGCGACTCACAATGGCGCCCTTTAAAGTTTTGTCTGATACAAATTACAAATTACAAATTGAAAAGTAAAAATTAGATAACAATGTTTATACTAATTATTTTCAATAGTGGCTTCTCTACAAAATTGACTTGCACATTTCTACTGCAGAAAAACATATTGGAAGTATCAGAATTAAACACTTGTAAACCTAGAAAAAACATTATCTTTCACATTCTTGATATTTCAGAATTCTGCAATGCATTGACTTGTGTATTCAAGACCCGGGCCCAAACCTTTCCACTACTTTTAGAAACCTTAAAAACCGTTCCAAAACCAACCCAAGGTTTATAATTAAAACTTAATAAATTAACAAGAAAGATGTTTTAAAGAACTCGAGATGGATTTAGATCAATATTAAACTTTTTCATTACAAGACCCAATACCATAACAAAAATTGTTAATAATAGTTTAGTACTCTAACAGGAACGTATTTAACGTTTAAATCAACTAAAAATTCTTGAAGTAGAAACTCATTTCTTTTCTCTAGAAATTGTCTTTTCAAAAAAATGTTTTGTAATTTGTTTTCAGTAATTTCATACAAACAGGTTGTATAAAACTGTGAAAAATCGTTGGAACAAAATTTACTTAATGGAAAAGAAGGCTTTCACCGAGCAACAAAACTACATCAATGGAACTATTAGTAATTATAGACCTTTATTGACAATGGAATTCAGGCTTTCATTGCTTTATTTTTATTTTGTATAGAAGGAAACATTATTTTTTTCTTCTTACTATGGAAATTGAATTAAAATATTCACTCTGCAGTGTGTATTGGAATATGTAATTGTAAAAAGCTGTTATTTTTCACGGACCATGCATTTATTATGAAACCTTAAACCAAATGCAATTCAGGCTTTCACTGCATATATTTGCTATTTATTGTAAACAATGCAGAATTATCAAGTAAAACAAATCTTTGTCTTAAACCTTAGAAATGGAATTCAGACTTTCACTAACTGTAATTTAACAATGGAATATGATCAAGTTTAATTTACAATTTTAAGAACTTATATATTATATCAATATGCTTTAACATTATATATTGACTAATGGAACTTAAATTTTGAAATGTGTGCACGCTACAACCTTGTAATACTGTGTATTGCACCAGAACTAAAATTTAAGATATTACAACAGAAAAAAAACCTAGTTTCAACCAAAAAAAAATTTAAAAAAACTCGGTATTTTGTTTTTTTGTAATTCCTTGACTTTTAGGTTCTGTTTACTTTTGTACAGTGTACAACTCTTACATCCCTGTATTTTGTTATTCTTGAAATATATAGATTTAAATTTTAACGTTTAATGTTTTTGCATCAATCGTAATTGAATGAGAGAAACAGAAATCACGCAATATACTGACAAAATACAGATATTCTCTGGCTTTTCCGGACTCAACTCACTAATCATTCAAAAGATGTTTCAATCAAGTCATAAAAAGCGTTTTACTTTCATATTAAATATAGACCATTAACTAGACAAATATGTCCTGAGCTGAAAACATTAAAATGGGGGATATCGAGATTAATGCTTGATCTCCTCTTTTTCTTAATCTCCAGATTAAATAATGATTGTTCTCCTCTTGTTATTAATTTACCTATCGGGATTAAGGATATCCCATTCTAAAGTTTTCAGCTCTGAACTTATTTAATTCAGATCTCTAGCATGAATCTTTTTAAAAATCATATTTTTCTTTGGAATAATTCAAATCGACCAAGTACGTCCAGAACTGTACATGTAAATGCTTGTAATATATGACCAGAGAGTTCTAAATAAAATTACCGATTAGAAAAAAATACTTAAAAGTATCTTTCCGCGTTGTGACGTTTCTTTTTATTAAAAATATACACTTTAGAGGAGAATATATGAATATAGTTTTTTTAGCTATTATTAAAAAAATGGGACTTAAAACTTTCAATCAGTGTTTCGTTGTAATTCTTTTTGAAAAATTTATATATATATTTATATATTGATGGTCCTTGAGAACGTTAAGAAGAGAAACTGAGATTGATGATTTGTTTTAACAGTCCTGTCCTGCTTCCTTCACTGCAAAGTTCCGCAGTCCTCTCCTTCCAAACTTTTACATTTAATTTCAACCAAAATAAACCAAGCGAATAAATATATTAAATTTTCATCGAACCTAATAAATATGAATTTAACAATGTTTAATGGTGGAAGTAAATCGCACTTCCATGTATATTTTACAAAATAAATAAATCACTTTTCTTTAAAGTTTCGTCATGTGTAAGAGAGAATTCTGAGAGAATGCTTTAGACCAAACTAAGTAAATCGATTTAAAAAAAAAAAACTATTTTGAAAATTATCAATATTTGTTTTCATTTGTAAATAATAATTGTCTTTTGTAGGTAGTCTTTAATTTTTTGTTTTCCTTAATTGATCCAATATTTTATGTATGCTGGTTTCCTCTGAAATCATATAAAAATATAAAAAAAACATGGGCGTTACCAATCTCCCATAAAAACCTGCGTGTCCGAGCTGCTAGGTGATTTCTTGTATTAATCTGGTTTTATTTTATACGAACTTTATCTCTTTTCTCCCCAGACAAGATAATTCTGGTAAAAGGAATTGAGTCTTTGCCACAAACTCTAATTTCTAATCCATATATCTTGCAAATTGCAATTGTAGAATCTGGATATTTCAAAGTTTGAGTTCTGGTAGATCAAATAAAGTAAGCTTAAAAAATTACACCATCAGATTGCAAAGACTAGAAAAATTGAGTTTATGGCAAAGACTCAACTCCCATTTTAAAATCTGCTACTTAATTCAAGATTAAAAGTCGACTATACAATTATAAAATAATTTAAATATTATCTTGTAATACAATATTTATTGACTCTGTTCCTCTAGAACTAAATTATTAACAATATTTACAAAATATTCTTTTATTCCTCCAGCTTCAGGTTCTTCGATCAGAAGGTTCATCAGACCAGAGAATATATCACTGATTCAAATATATAGATAAACAAAGAAGGTAAAATGTATCCTTGAAAGATGTTTTGTGAAAAAATATATAAAGCCATTTGAGTGACCAGCCAGCCTACTTTTGTTGCAGAAAACACGCTGGGTCAACTACATTCTGTATACACTAGATAGGCTGGTACGAGTAAACACTAGACCGGTGTCGTTGTATTGGTTCGGATCATGCAAAAATTGGTTTCATGTGATAGAAACATGATCAGTTCGTGTCTTATTGTATAGTACGTACTTTGAAGACAAAACCGAGTAACACAAGACTAGAATATTTAAATACTAACTACGGGTAGGGATGTTAAGGTTTTCATTTTTCAGAAAAACGATTGTTTCGTTATGAAAACGACGACAAAAAATCGAAAACGAAACAATCGTTTTTAAAAACGATCGTTTTTCTAAAAAGTTCGTTTTTTAAAAATGGTCGTTTTTAAAAAGATCGTTTATCAAAACGCTCGTTTTTAAAAACGATCGTTTTTCATAACGATCGTTTTTATAAAATTCGTCGTTTCGTTAACGACGACCCCTTCGTTAACGATCGTTAACGAAGAGAGGAAACCGACCTGAAGGGCATCTGTACTTATCATTGAGTAGTTTTAAGAAAATATCAAGGAGTTTTAGCTCCCCCCACAACTGTTAAACTTCATGTAAGACGACATTCAATAAAGTTGCATGTATTTTTTTCCAAAAACGACCGTTTAGATAAAGTTCTTCGTTTCGTTAACGATCGTTAACGACGACCCTTCGTTAACGATCTTTAACATAATTGTCAATAATTTTTTTTTCATAAACGATCGTTTTTTTAAACAATCGTATAGAAAACGGTCGCAAATCGTTTTAATAAAAACTATCGTTTTCAAAAACGATCGCTATTCGTTTTCTAAAAGTTCAAAACGAGTGGGTCGTTTTTAAAAACGATCGTTTTCTTTTGAAAACGAAACGATCGTTTTTGAAAACGAAACAAAAAAAGATCGTTTAACGATCGTTTACAAAAACGATTAACAACCCTAACTACGGGAGACAAAATTCGAACCCATGTTTATTGACTGTTAAACCAGGATTCATATATGTTTATCTATTTGTTTGCCTGGTTGTTTCATACATCCTCTCCTTTACTACCGGGGTCGGAGCATTCACTACCACTAGGTAATAGGACGCAGCGGCGATAAATGGTAGAGCGATCATTGCTGGTAAACCAGGTAAAAGGGCGGCGGCAGATGCAACCACCTCACCTACTCGGGACATTGCGCCGCCGGTCATATCATCAACACGCTTACTGATCGAATTATCGAAGAAAGGTCGTCTTTTTTCGGGTTTGGGAGGTCGCCACTTGGGTTCCTCCTCATGCCATCTACAAAGAAAGACATTTTTAAGAAAACATTTTTATGGTCACAAAAAACCGCTTTTCAAATAATAAGACCTGTTTTTGTATCCATAATGGGGTCGTTTCCAAACTAGAGGGACTTCTGACACTTTCTTAACCTGCATATTATAATTCGGAAATAGTTAAAAGAAAAAGTTCCAATGATCTTCGCAGTTAAATGATTGACCTTTTTCTAATGAACTAAATTTTTGACTTTATGAATACACTTTTAAATACGAGGTTGATCATTTTAAAAGTACGGAGATAAAAGTTTTAGAAATCTTTCAAATGGTAAAATCTGAAAATATAAACATATGATATAATAAAGAGCCACACTCAACAAAGTACAACCAGCATTAAGTGATTTTATGTACAAGAAATAGAGAAGAATTTTTTAGTTGCAAACTAGGAATTAAACCATTTTTTGGTTCCTCTCAATAATCTTTAATTAGAGAATCTATGATTAAAATCATATGATAATTTTATTTTAACGAAGGAACAAAATATAAATTTGAAAATTTTACAAAAATAGGTAAAAATAAGATATCTCACCTGGGGGACTTCATTATAATCATTATAATAGTTGTAATCATATACAGGTTGATCCTCTTCATAATATAGATAATCTACTCTAGATCTATCTACCGGTACACGAGTATTAGCAACACTCCTGGAATTATCAATCTTTAAATCAACAAATTCAAACAATAGAAAATGGCAATCAGTCTTTGAAACTGTACCAAAGACAGTTCGATCTTCAGAAGTGCTTCGTATAAAGAATAGTATTAACTGTACTATAGACAGTTTGATATCAAGAACGGTTCTATAAACATTTTGATCTTAAGAACTGTACTATAGACAGTTTGATATCAAGAACGGTTCTATAAACATTTTGATCTTAAGAACTGTACCATAGACAGTTTGATATCAAGAACGGTTCTATAAACATTTTGATCTTAAGAACTGTACTATAGACAGTTTGATATCAAGAACGGTTCTATAAACATTTTGATCTTAAGAACTGTACCATAGGCAGTTTGATATCAAGAACGGTTCTATAAACATTTTGATCTTAAGAACTGTACTATAGACAGTTTGATATCAAGAACGGTTCTATAAACATTTTGATCTTAAGAACTGTACTATAGACAGTTTGATATCAAGAACGGTTCTATAAACATTTTGATCTTAAGAACTATACCATAGACAGTTTGATATCAAGAACGGTTCCATAAACATTTTGATCTTAAGAACTGTACCATAGGCAGTTTGATATCAAGAACGGTTCTATAAACATTTTGATCTTAAGAACTCAGTTTGATATCAAGAACGGTTCTATAAACATTTTGATCTTAAGAACTGTACCATAGACAGTTTTATCTGAAGAACTGTTCCATAGGCAGTTCATCTCAAGAACTGTTCCATAGACTGTTCGATCTTATGAAATGTTCCATATGTATATTGCCTGGTCTCAAGAACTGTTCTATATAAAATTCGGTCTCATGAACTGCATCCATCCTAAGAACTGTTTCATAGACAGTTTGATCTCAAGAACTGGTCTATAAGCAGTTAGATCTCAGGAACTGTTCGATAGACAGTTTCATCTCAAGAACTGGTCTATAGACAGTTCGATCTCATTAACTGTTCCTTAGGCAGTTTGATCTCAATAATTGTTCCATAGGCAGTTCGATCTCATGAACTGTTCCTTAGGCAGTTTGATCTCAAGAACTGTTCCAAAGACAAATAGATGACATGAATTGTTCTATGGGTATTTTGATCTCTAGAACTGCTCCATAGACAGTTAGATCTCATGAAATGATATTGTTACAAATTATGAACGGCAAGTAAAGACAGGGATTTTCTTTTTAAAAAATTGTACCGATCTAATACATACAATTGGGCATGACGTTAATACCATTGGAAAATATCAACACGAAGGTTATCCTATAATATATTATATAATAATTATATAGTATTAAAACTAACTTTTCCCTGATCTGTTAAAACATTTAAACATAGTTGCCTGGAATCTGAATTTGAGTTTGCGAGTCTATAGACTGCTGTCTTGACAGCGCTGTCCAGAAGTGTATTCAAGCTTCCTGACATTCTAAAACAATAAAAATCAATATGAGATGAAAAAGTAATTTTCATTTTTATGAAGGTTACAAAACTCAAAAAACGGACATTGTAAATATTTTCAATGTAAACACTTCTTCTTTTTTCTCTCTAAATATATCGGGAATTTACATTTATAAACATTTACATTTTGCATATTTGATTTTTTCTCCGTATTCATACTTTATAATTTGTTTTTCCACCATTTATTAATATTTTTATATTCTTTTGTGTACAGTCGATCTCTAGCTTGAGTGATTTTTGCCGTTTGTTTATGAAAATCTATATATATATATATATATAAAGTTGTGTTAGAAAGTAATGAATTGGTACAAGGTCAACGGCTGGATTAAGCTCCAATCTCATTCAATCAAATTACTTTAAGGACTGTAAAGAAAAAATGAAAGGGGGTATAATAGGCTGAAATCTAAGCACTTTTGGAGTTGATCGAGACCTATAAGAGTTCTATCTGATATTCCTGTCTCGAGAAATTGATATAAAACTTTGTCAATGTTTTATCAAAACTTATTTATGTTTATGAGATTTGGTATAAGAATCTAAGTTTTATGCAGATCATATTCAGCAAATACGCAACCAATCTGAAAACTACGATAACCCAGAGGAGACTGAATACTTAAAGGGAGTGTTCGGCGAAAAATAAGCGCTTTTGATCGCTACTAATCTTGCTTCTATCTGTTGCGTCTATAAGCAGTAAATTGTTAAAAAACTACTCATACCGAAGAACGTATAGCGTCTTTGCTTGCAAATTTGCTGAATATGATCTGTTTAAAACTTAGATTCAATTGTACCAAATCTCATATATATAAGTGTTGGTATAACATGGACACAGTTTTACATACATTCTCTAGAAAGGAACATCAGATAGAACTTTTATAGGTCTCGATCAACTCTTAAGATGCTTAGGTTTCAGCCAATACCTCTTTCATTTATCTTTTCCAGTCCCTTTAACCGGGAATTATCTTTACATCTAGTTCCTTGCCTTATTTCGTAAGAAAATGCCAGATGCTCAAATCATTTCTGTAACATAATGAAAGAATTCATCATATTTGTTTTCTTAACCAAAACATAGTTCATAAAAGATTATATAGTATTCGTATTTAGGCAATTGCTTTGTGTTATTATTCTGAATATTATGTATTATTTGCCAAGATTTTCACTTATTCTTGGTAGTAGGATGTTTTAAGAACATGTTAAAGAACATCAGATGAAATCTATTTGGTTTCTAGTATCATAAACGTAACATTCTTTAACTTTCAAATAAACGCCATGGTTTCATTTCGATGAACATGAATCAATGTAATACTAAATTTTACATTGATAAGATTCACTCAAGATATATATGTATTCTGTAGTTACGCAACACGTGTAAAACTCTGTTTACCTTTTAGGACTTTCAGAAGTTTCCTAAATAAACAATGACAATCTTCATGTGTACGTGTTTTCTCAATAGTTATACACAGAACCAAGAAAAATGGACGACTATTTATTTGTCACTGAAATTTAAGTTTTTGGATTTTTTTTGTGGTAGTTGCTAAAAAAAGAGACTTTTGGTCCAAATGTCTTTTAGAAATATAAAAATGTAAAGGTGTTTTTTTTATTCATAAAAGCTATGTATTTTTTGGAGTTTACTATGTTTAAATGTACAATGTAACGTTAGTAAGCATAATAGTTTTTGATGTAAATATTCCATTAATATAATATTACAATCATAATATTATTTTAGTTTCAACAATCAATATTTTTTAGTCTCAATATAGATAGAAACATAATATATATATATATATTTGTTTAATAATTTATCTCAATATCAAATCATTTCCGTTACTATTTCTTTTCCTTTTTTCCTTTATCATTCGATATTGTTTTGCTTAATTCAAAATACACAATAGATATAATTTATCATTAATAATGATATTGTTTTGCTTAATTCAAAATACACAATAGATATAATTTATCATTAATAATGATATTTTAAATGTGAGGATTGAGGAAATTGTTTTTTTTTTCTTACGAAAATAAATATCATCTGCGTTACTTTTATCTAAAATTTTAAATTAAAACTCATTTGTTCAGTATTATGTTTCGGAAACCTTTAGATCCAGGTTATGAAATTAAAAAGTCATGAACATGTTGCAGTTTACACTGACACAGACCCATTTAAATAAATAAGCTGATTTCAAACAATAGCTATATACTGGTAAATTATTTGCTTTATAACAACATTAATAAACATGAGTTTGCTAAAATATCGTCTTCCTTTCTCAGAATTTTATGGATCCCATTGTTTGCTATTTTACATTTTTTTATTAGTTTGTGGTGTAAAACATTAAGTTCTAGTTTCCCTTTATATTTTCCTCTAATCTAAAGCAGATGTTAGGAAATCTGCAATAGTTTATACTTAAATACGAACGACTGACACAATGGAGAAATGGCGTTGAAGGACTTAAAATCAATTTTTACAAATTGCTACAAAAATAATTCACGTTCACTTTTTATTCATTTAAAAAAAAAAAAGTAAAAACAATGTAGGTTAGTTGCAGGGGCGTATTCAGGAATTTGTCAGGGGAGGGGGCTTGAATTTTTTTTTCTGTCCAGGGGGGGAACTCAGCACCTGTTGGGGCCCAAAACCAACTGAAAATCAAAGATTTTACTAATCATACCCCCCCCTGAATGCGCCTCTGGTTAGTTTCACTAATGATATTGTTAGGCACATTTTTCCTAATACCGTGCAGTCTACCCAATTTATCAAATAATAATTGGGCAAGCATTAAACATCGATTGTATCACAAAAATTCAATTTCCAATATTTTTTATTTGCCTACATTACTTGTATTATGTTTTTTTTTAAAAGATAGCAAATATAAGTTACAGTCGTCAACATATTAAAGTATTTATTTTGTAAGTTTATCAAAATATTTGAAACATAAGCTATATGGTTAAAGGAATTTCTGTACTCTGTACAGTGTATTATGTAATTGACTATCAATTATTTTATTTATATATATTTCTTGTATGCCATGAGAAGGTTTACTTGATGTATCCCCCCTCCAGAGCAGGAATGACCATGAAAAAGGACAAATTTCCAAGTAATTATCTTTAAATGTATACATACTTAACATTAAACTATGTTTAGTAAAATCCTGAGAAATAAATATATTTATTTCTGGACTTTGATATTAAGTACAAGATCACGCTCCTAGTTCAATGATTAAGTTAAGTATTATAGATATTGGTATTTTTTTAATCTCCCATAAAAACTGTATTTGTATATAAACTTCGGTATTTTTCTGAGAAGTTTAAATTTATGCCACATTACTTGTACAACCTTGTGACCTCGTAGCTCTTCTAGGGTTGATATTCATAGATAAAGATAGATTGCGCATAAGACGACATTTTTCATCTTGAAAGATATAAATGTACAGAGATGTTTTAAAGATATTCCTATTATATAGATTAACTAGGTCGGTTGTGAACTTTGTCTGTTCTTATGTCATTGAGTACTTGTGGTGTACATGGGTTCTGTAAAAAGAAATTTAAGTTAGTTTAGTCCTTCTCATGTCCTTCTTCAGTTCACGTCAATCTGATATATTGCTCATATTTTGATATTCTCAAAATAAAATTCACTCCTGAGTGGTTTAATAATTATGAAATCCATTAAAACACCAAACCACCCCGCTTATCATTGAAGTACACTTTGACCCCTAGAAGTATGAGTTCGCGGACTGTACAATTCTTGGTGATTTTGCGTACATAAGCTATCTATGTTTATTTATTTATCTATGGTTGATATTACGCACAAAGCGATTCAGGTTCTTATGAAAAATTCAAATATTTTTGTTCTTGTCAATAGCTCTTCCCTAAGAGGAACGTTATGATTAAAAACATATAAGATTATACTATTATATTACAATAATATTACATCCTTCATGCAATTTACTTTAGTTTGAAGTGTTCTAGATGTACATGCAAGCACTATAAATGTTATGAATACTTATGATAACAAAATACCTATAAATAAATGTAAATGTTTACAAGGATAAAAAACATTTCCAGATTTATTAGTCAGCAGTTGCAACTACAACATTTTTTAATCCTTCTTTTAGCATTTCCTTGAGTTAGGAAATCTTTTCTTTCAGAAGAGAAAACTAGATTACCGTGATATTTTCACTTTTCTGTCTTAAATGTAACTGTTTAAAAATAATGAGTGAGATTTTTTCTTTTTTATAAGAATTACAGTTTCTTTTAAGTTAAAAGCAAGTTTTTTTATCAAAACTGCAGTGTCTACTAATCATTTTAACAAATTTTAATTTGCATATTTTTCAGAGACACTAATATTACATTTATTTAAACGTTTGATGAAAAACGTCGTAGATAAAAGTTAAAAGCTTTAAGTCGTGACTTAATTGTCTGGTTTGGTAGCTGTTAGTTCAAAACTCCAAAATCCCTACAGGGTGTCCCGCGTCATATTAAATCGTCAATCGGTCTAAATTACGATTTTTGGTACTAATCAGAAAATTTAAGAAGAATAAATTGTTTTGAAAAATTGAATAAGGCTAATTTAAGAATCTTATTGTGGAAAATGCGAGGTTTTTCGAGTATTATGGGTTTATTTTGGCGTTAAAACTTGGAGATAATCTAATATGATATGGGACGCTCTGTAATTCCTAATAATAAGTAGGTGAAACTTATTCCACTGAATGCACGCTGCACATACAACAGAATAGAAATTTGTACAGTTACCATATTTATAAAAGAAATATTTATTCAGTTTTGATTTTTAATTTGATATGGTTTCACCAATTGGTATAAAGGAAAGCTTTAATAAATGAAGGCTTTAAGAAGACGACATCTGAATTAAATCTTATTCTATTATAATGAAACATAAACTTGATTTAATAGAGATAAAATAAATTCATGTTTAGTTGAGTTAATGGGATATCTAGAAATAAAAGCTGTAAAGTAAAATTTTACATGATTGCTAAAAAGTTTGTGATTAAGTTTGCGCACCTATCATGGATGTCACTAGGATCCGCGATTTAATTGGTTGTTTTAAAAACTGTCTTAAAATAATTCTTAAAATTGGGTAATCAATGGCCGTTCTGCATATGGAAAAAGTTTGTGTAATTCAGTTTTGATTGGATTAAATTAGACTTTTTGTATTTACTGTTTTATACTTTCTTGTTGGCCTATATATAATTCAAATAATTATATCAAGTTTTTTGCATTTTTTTGACAGATTTGTAATTATAGATAAATATTCGACTAAAATATGTCGATACAGACAGGATGTCTTAATAAACATGGAAATTTAGTGACGACTTTTATATCGTCTTCGATCTTCGATTTTTCATTAACACAATTATTGCAGTATTCCAGCTTAAACGTATAATATCAAAAACGCCTGGCCTTGAGATTTTCAAAATGTGGTCTACCATTTGTATCTTCAAAATTGACGGAGATATTGCAAAATGTTTACAAATTTCAATTTTTTTAGTAAATCAAAATAATCTTAATATCTAATAACTTCGTTAATCTTTAAATTTAGACCTCTATTAAAATTTCGGAAGACGTAAAGCCTCATTTTTTTTATTTTCTTAGCCATGCATTAATTATCAGAAATCAATGACGACTTTAAAATTGTCTCTCAATTCCCATGTTAATTGGGACACCCTGTACTTTGTTTTAGTTAGTTCTTCGTGTGACAGTCAGCATCTAAATATTTATTTTTGAACAAAATACAGAAAACCATTGCTGAACTATAGCTGTTTAAGAACTGCTCTTAGTCGTGCAAATTGGGTCAAACGTTGAATACACAGGGAGGGGAGAATGCTGCTTGACTTCTGACAGGGGAAATAAAATTTTTCTCTATGAAACTGAAAAACATAGGACAAAACTGTGCGTCCCCTTTGATTCTACAATAATTAAGGAATTTCTTGGGGGGGGGGGGGCGATTAATACAATTTTTGCCCTAGATTAAATCCTGCATTGTGTAATGTATACACTGAGTAACATATTATATGTGGCTTATTATCCCTGAGATATACCATATACAGCTGATGCTGCTTTCTGTCCAGTTGATATGTATTAGTAACACGGGCAACGCCGGGAGCATTGGCTAGTAGTAAAGAATAACAAAATTAAATCCAAATGGTCTTTTGAATCCTGGTTTACAGACATATTATGATGATTAATAAACAATAATTGTATACCTTTATATAATCTGTTCCGTCTGCAATGTGACAAATCAAGTTTAAGATTTCACTTTCTCTTTCATCCGCAGCTCCAAACCCTCACTCTAACATTCAGAATTCAACTGATGTACGCGGACACCAGACGCATTTATTGCGTCACAACCATGCGTCAACCAATCCGCAGGCAGAGTAAAATCTTTAAGAACAGAAAGGATTTATTATTCTAAAATTGGTTTGCAAAGTATGAATAGAAACTATTATACTGCATAATTGATAGATATTAATCCGTCCCACACACAACCTCCAGTGTCCATCCAAAAAAAACTAAAATATAGGAGTTTTCATTGCAATTTGTTTTAGACTCATTATTTTTTGTTTTAGATTCTGAAATCCGCAATTGTATTTTTTTCAGATAGCAACGCAAAGTTACTGAAGTGTAGTACAATTGTGAATCGTTTACTAAACTTATCTCAAATAGTTTCATCTAAATTATTAGGTTGAAATTTTCTTTATAAGGGAGAAAGTATAAAACCAGAATTACAACTTACAAAATCCAAGGACTTCATAAAAGTTGCACTAATTAACAATTGATAAATATTCATATACTTGGCTTAGCGATTAGCGAATTGTTTTTATCTTTGACCGGTTATAAACTTTCCCTGGGAACATGTGAGTTGCATCAACAATTTTGGGCTCGATCGGTTCAGCTTCTGCTACGTATATTATACATATTTGTTTTTATTGCAGGAATATATAGGATTTAGCAAAACTACAATACTATGAGCAATAATCCTATAGGGTCGAATTCTACACTGGATACAGTGATAACCAGAAAACAATAGAAAAGGAAGAAAAGCAATATTTAATGGGACGTTCACTTATTTTGGTAATTTCAGGGTAAACTAAACAGCTTATTCGCTGTTGATTGGTAATAGTCTTACAACTGTGGCCGGAGAAAAAGCCGATTTTTCGTTCAGAATTTGAACGGAAAGGGACGGTTCCTCTCTGTAGACTCTATTTGACGTTTTTTCAGTACTTAAATTTAAATTTATCATATTTTATGTGCACAACATTTCATTTTTCATGCTGCGTTAAATTCTGCTTTTTACACAGGCAATACACAATTTTTAATGAGATAAAATAGTGTTATTTTAGAAATAGATAGTTCAAAAACAATTTTTTTTTAATTATGACATTTACAATTAACGATTAGATACTACAGTTTAATTTTATATTCGAAATTTATTTTGATCCACAAGATACTGAAAAAAAATTAGACTATTACCAATCAATAACAGCGAATAGGTTGTTTAGTTTACCCTTAAATTACCCAAATAAGGGAACGGTTCCTTTAAGTAAGTTTGATTTTGTGAATTTAGTGAAATGGGTCTGTTTACACTGCACAATTGCTGTGTGTCATGCTCATTGGACTTTTTTAGTTATAACTTGATCCTATAAGGCATCTTCTTATTTCAGATTTTTCTGGTTATCACTGTAAATACATATCATAACTTTTACATTAAATTTTCTCCGGTAGGTCAGAACTTTTGTGTAGAGTATAGTTATTATAGTTAACATTGAACGCTTGGTCTCGATATCTAGTATGGGCACTTTAAAAATTGAGGATAGATGCTTGAATCCTTGAATTCAGTTCTCTCTACAAAGGTAGGACCATCACGGGATGTCGAAAAGGGGGGGGGGGTGTGGATGCACTTTCTGACACAAAATTGTGTACAGGCATTCTCTAATTGTGGTCATCTCCAAAGATCACGGAGAACATTTATGATCAGCACTCAGCAGAAAATTTGGGTAAATATCACATTTTTAACTTTAAATAGTTAATTTTTCTTTAATAATAATTTCCACATTATGCAACCTCCTTGTTGATCTCTTTTCCATTATGACCTCTGAAGTGTCTAGATCTAAGAAGACTAATTTTAACGTCATAGAAAGTATCAAATCATAAGTTTTTGGTGATTTGATAGGAAGGACCCTTCTCTGTATTTGTATTTTCACTTTAGAAGTATTTGACCTTAAAATACCAATTTGACCTCAGGAGCTAAATATATAAAGGTGGTCTGGAATTCCCAAAGCTTAGAAATAAATTTAATTTCCAGGACAACAAGGAAAGTTCAAAATGTCGTCTTCCAATCGAGTAAGATTTTATCAATGCTAAGCTCACTTTTTAAAAGAACACAAGGGAATGAACACAAGGGCGTATATAACAGGGGTAAGAGGCAGTGCCACATCCTAGTCTTATAAAGGGGATAATTTAGATATCTCTTTCTCCATTTTAAAATGAAAATCACAGAGAGAAAGAAGGCTTGAATTTGGAGAAGATAGAAATTATATTTAGATTTTTTGGCTAGTTTTGTAACTAGTTTTTGTAAGGGTAGCTTGGAATGAATTAATAGTTTTTAATGATTAGGTAAAAATATGATATGGAGACTGTGGACATTTGTTTTTAATGGATTAAAGAATAAAGTGGAAAAAGTAAGAGATAGATATTAAAGGAATTATGGAATATGTTAAAATAGCTGTAGAACCCAGCGTTTGCACAGGGTGCTCATAGATACTCCAGCCGTTTACCCGCGCGCGCAATTGGTCGTAAATTTACGATTTTAAATATTTTTCCCTATAAAAGTGTACCCATTCAACTTAGAATCTCAAATCCTAGCTAAGTTAGGAAACAAACCTTCAGCTTAGATCGTTATTATTTTTCATTTTTAATCGTTTAATATAGTTTAAAAGTCACGTTCTTTGTATGTATACATTTCTTTGTATGATACATTCTCAGTATGAATAGATGTAGTTGAACCCTAAACAAGAAGCATGTTCTTGTATTTAAAGTTCCGTGATGTAGTGGTTGGTTTATCAACTGTATCTCTGGTTTAATCTTGCATGTTCTCTATTCTACTTAAATTATAGATGCTTCTTAACAACTATATCAGTTGCAAGAATCTTAGGGCTCTCGTCATTATCATCTGCATACCAGAGTATAGAGGAGAGCAAAGTGGTTTGAAAACCATGAGGACGGATATATTTTGATGTATCATGTATCTGTGATTTTTTCTCACTATCAATTTCACAATTTGTTGAGGAAAATTATTCATAAAGTGGTAACTAAAAATTAGTGGAATGATTGTGGAAAGATTTTGAAGTTTTTGCCACAAACTCTGATTTTGCAATCCCTATATCTCTGAAACATGATGTCGTAGACCTTTGATATGAGTTGTGTTAGATCAATAGTCTAGGTTTGAAATGCCAAAGATTTACACCATTAGGTTGCAAAGATATGGGATCAGCAAATTTAAGTTCGTTGCAAAAGCTTAATTCATTTATTAGTAATTAATTTCTAGAAATCCTCAGTGACGTTTTCTAATCAAAAGAAAGAACGAAGGTGACAATTTGTCCTGTAAATTCACATTTCAGATTTAATTTCCAGATTAGGTTCTGGTGAAAAATTCAAGCCGTGATTCAGATTGTTTAAATTAATTACAAGAAATTTTAAAGTTATAGTATTTGATTTTTTAAAATTAAAACTTCTTTGTTTTATTTTAGTTTTAATAAGTTTATTTTGCAAATCCTTTAAAAATGGCAACACTTAATATCGGATATTGTTACGTAACAAAGATTTAAAAAGAATTAAAAATGAAAGACCAAAATCATTATTTATTGTCCACTGTCCTCAATTCTTCAGTATTTGCGCTGTTTTAAAATATTTAAGTTTTCAGACTGTAGACCTGAATAAACTATCAAGAGTATGGATGCTCCAATCCATCTATATTCTGTATAGAGCTCCATTTATCGATCATTTTCTCCATACTTCCATTCAATGCTCCCATCCAATCATTCAAAGCTCCATCTATTGATCATGCAATTCATTTTTAATTCCATTCCAGCTCCAATCCCTCCATACTGACAGAGCTCCGCCTATACATATCGTTCTCCAAATAAAACAGATAGTGCTCCCAACTATGTTCTCCACATACTTTTACATTCAATGCTCTGCTCCATCCATACAGAGCTTCATCTATCCATCATGTTTTCCAAATAACCCATATATTGCTCCAAACCATTTACTTCTCATACCATCTCATACACCTAGACTTTCAGATATCTCAGATATCAGTATCTATTTCTAATTCTGAATTATGCTTTGTGTGAAGTGTCATTGCTGATAATCATTTACATAGAATTCTGCCAATTATTTATATTTGAAACCTAATAGATTAAACCTTTGATATTTAAATTATGATTAATAAATTTGTGTTAGAGGCAAGTACTCGGTTTCTTTTAATTGGTGAATCATGATTCTGAGTATAAATCCTGTCTTATGACAGGTTCGCCTGGAAGTTCTGGAAGAAAATGCAAATCTTACAAGACATTGCTGCAGGCCAACTCCTTAAAAGGATAGGTTTCATTTAGTTCTCAGAACAGTTAAACTTGTAAACCAGCCAATCTGTAGACTAAATTCTTAGTAGTTTTTCATGTTTGATCTCCCACCCTTCTCCTCCCTCCTTTTATACACGAACCACCTACTCCTATTGCAGGTTAATTCGGCCATCTTTTCAGCTTTTCAGTTATCTTTCATTATTTTTCATCCTTATTTTTCTTCTTTTCTTCCTTTATTTCAACATGTATTTCATTTTATTCGATAACTGATTTTTCCGGTTATTTTCTCATCTCTTAACCTCCTATTTGCTTTTATGTTATCTTTCTCGCTCCAGCTTGCCTTTTCATCTTTACTTCCGTTTTTTATTTTGTATCTTCTTCTACTAATTTAGTTTCTTCCTTTAAACCTTGTCATACCTTCTCAAGCGTAACTTCTTCTCCCCTGGTTCCCACTCAATGTTTCTCTTACACTGGTTCCTCCACCTACTCACACAAGCGTTATTATAAAATGCAACAGAAAGACTTAATCCAATGTTTGCCATTTATTTGACTGAAGTAGAATATCAGATGGAAACAACCCTGGGCTCTAGAATAATCAAATACATGAATTTCTGGGCAATAATAATTCAAATATTTGATATTGTACCATTTTTTATCTTTTAGCTGTGGTAGTTACTGTGGTTCTTGGGCCCATTCTGATGGAAAGAGATTCCGGGCCCATGGTTGTTGGGCGGGAGGCACAGTGTACCCACGCTCAAGGTCTATCAGAGCAGTAGTGTATCAGCAGCAGTGCTGCAGGATACATCTAGTTCTACACTCACAGATCTATCCAGGCATGAAACATATGAAGTGGAAACTGTAAGTAGTTCATGTTTTGCAAGTGATAAAGCAGATATATTCTTTTCTTTGTAATGATTAATTGCCGTTGATCATTTTGTTGTGAAAATGACAGTTGCGGATAATCGCAGAATTTCGGAGGCCGACCGCGCCGGTCTGGCGGCGAGGTCGCCAGAGGGTCACGCGGCCAAGTCTATGCATATAAGAGGCCGCGAAGAAGAGTGGATACAGATACAGGCGAACACGTTTAAGAACTGGGTGAATGTGAACTTGAGGGAGGCTGGACTTCAAGTTGAGGATCTAGCAACAGATTTCTCCGACGGAGTCAGGTAGGAATAAACGAATATTTTACACAATAAAATGCTACTTTTCTTGAAATAATAACACAGAAATTACATAATTTTACGTAATTTAAAAAGAAATTGTCATTTTGAAATTTAATTACTACTTTTACTGGATGCATAATAAAATAAAAATTTACGTCTAATTTATTGTTTTCTATTCTAAAATATATGTTTATATGAAAATTAAGTTTCCATGCCTTTTCTTTTAGTTTCAAACCTTGTCATTTGTTATTTCTCTTGAATTCAGCCAATAGCTGCTCGTCATGTTTACTGTATAATACTAAACCTTTAGAACATCTGACACAAACCCAGCTAATATAACAATAAAGGGATATTTTTACATTATCATCTAAACCTGGATTTCAAGGCTCTTATAGTATATTAGTAATATTTATACTAATTGAACACATTTCAAAAGATCTATATGTAGTTAGTTAAAGTGTTAGATTGATTCAGAATTAGACTGATTTAGGAGCAGATTGATTCAGGGTTAGATTGATATAGAACCAGACTGATTCAGGGTTAGATTCAGGATCAGATTGATTCAGAATTAGACTGATTTAGGAGCAGATTGATTCAGAATTAGATTGATATAGGACCAGATTGATTCAGGGTTAGATTGATTTAGAATTCGATTGATTCAGAATCACTAGTTGATTCATAATTAGATTGATTTAGGATCAGGTTGATTCAGAATTAGATTGATTCAGGATTAGATTGATTCAGGATTACTAGTTGATTCAGAATTGGCATTTTCCAGAACATGTTTAAAGGAATCATGAGTTTTTGCCTCAAATTCTGATTTTCTAATCGCTATGTTTTTACAGTACAATATTTAATATTTCAAACTATGAATTCTATTAGATAAAATATTAATTTAATTAAAAGTATTGAATCTAAAAAGTGTTGGAATGGTAAAAGATTAAATGATTTATCCGGAACAGAATTATATTGCATTAGGATTAGTTCAATTGAAGTAATGCTGGTAAAAGATTTATATTAATTGAAAGCTAAAAGAAAGAATTTGGTTGAAGATGATTACCCTGTTTAAGAGTAAATTGAGGTTTTAAATCTTTTTGGCAGAGATTGAAAAAGTTCACTTTGGTTTATAGATTGAGAAATTCTGATACTAATTGATTTGATAATTCTTTTGGAAGACTAGAGAAGTTTAAGACTGATATTTGACAGGTCGATGAAGAATCAGGTTGATGAAGGCTAAGGTTAATGAAGGATCAGATTGATGAAGGATCAGGTTGATGAAGGATCAGGTTGATGAAGGATCAGGTTGATGAAGGATCGGGTTGATGAAAGATCAGGTTGATAAAAGATCAGGTTGATGAAGGATCAGATTGATGAAGGATCAGGTTGATGAAGGATCAGGTTGATGAAGGATCAGGTTGATCTAGGACCAGATTGATCAAAGATCAGGTTGATCAAGGACCAGGTTGATGCAAGATAAGGTTGATAAAAGATCGGATAGATTAAGGATCAGGTCAATTAAATATAAAGTTGATTAAATATCAGGTTAATGAAGGATCAGGTTGGTAAAGGATCAGGTTGGTAAAGGATCAGGTTGATGAAGGATCAGGTTTATAAAGAATTGAGTTTGTGAAACATTAAGTTTGTTAAGGGTTGAAAGAATGAGTTGGAATACTTGAAGGATATTAAGAGACAGTTTTGATATTAAAGTTAATTAAGATGTTGGGAAAAACATGCGATAGTGGTTTTTGATGAGTTACATTAAGTCTTTTTATGTTTTTGAAAAGAGTTAAAGGATGAGTATTGTGAAAAGAGTTAAAGGATGAGTATTGTGAAAAGAGTTAAAGGATGAGTATTGTGAAAAGAGTTAAAGGATGAGTATTGTGAAAAGAGTTAAAGTATGAGTATTGTGAAAAGTTCGTCTATTCCAAAGATAGAATTGTGCGTGAGTTAGATAAATATTGAACATTAGATTTATATCAAACTTTAAGTCGGTTAGAACTATAGATTACATTTAGGCCACCATTTTGATGTTTACAATTAACCATTGAACGTGCTATGCAATCCAGTACCGGTATTTGTAATGCAATATCCATAAGTATAAGCAAGAAGGAAGTGACTGATATTCTTGAACAATTGTTTAATTTTGGGTCTTCATAAACATAAACCCCATGAAAACTGTTTAATTTTGGGTATTCATAAACATAAACCCTGAAAACTGTTTAATTTTGGGTATTCATAAACAAAAACCCTGAAAACTTTTTAATTTTGGATCTTCATAAACATATCCTGAAAAGTCCATGTTATAGTTTGAACCGTACTTACTTGACCCTTCGAACAGAATCAGTATAGAGTTCAATTCCCAGCATATAGCTAAACATTCCAAAACTATACATATACTGCTTTATCTAAGGTCTACAAAAATTCTTTTAACCATATCGCAATTGGACTATTTATACCTCTAACTTTAACCGTTAGGGTGCAAGGGAGGATTTTTAAAAAGTTCAAAAAATATTTTTACTTTTGACAAATATTAATGTGTGACACATGTTATTAAATCCATTTTTCAAGGGCTTACAAATATATAAATTTTATTGCTAAAGTTTGATTAAATAAAAGTTATTAACCATTTCTGATATTTTAAACAACGACCCGCCGCGCAGTTTGACTGTCCTCTATCCTACCCTAGGCACAAAAAAATTTAGCAAAATTTGTTCAAAACTATGAAAATGAAAAAGTATATGAAAAAGTTCTAATGTCAGCCTTTTTAAGTTAATTAGAAAAAAGCACAGGGGGGTGAAAAACACCCCTAATCTTGATAAGGTTAAGAAACTAAATTATTTAAGTTATTTAATATTTAAAGATATAATCCTGAATGTGTCTCTACAACTCCTGAGCCCACTCAACCATAAAGACTCGTGGAAACTTGACCTAGAGATTTGGAGAGAAAAATGTGTTTCTTGGATTCTTGTCATTAAAGAAAACTTGCGTTTTGTTAGTAACATATTTGGAGAGAAAAATGACTTATCAACCTCAACGGTTTTAGGTTTTATTTTCCTTCTGTTAATGTTTTCTCATGACAAGTAATGGAGTTAGTGTTGACCCTTTTAACCCCTGGGTCAACTTCATTTATCTAAAAACAAAATTATGCAATAAACATTGGACGTACATTGTGTTTAACATTACGCAATTATGTTTCCCCTTTCTGTATGATAACTCTTCTGGAATATCTGTAATATTATTCTCGAACTCATACTGTCATCCCATAGTTTATATTTGTTTAAAAAAACTCCATCTACTCTCTTGCTTAACCCACCATAAATGTGAACGGGTTCTAATCTAAATAGTATCTAATTCCAGATAAAATTGATAAATTATTGTTTATCATCAAGATATATTTCTTCTAGGATAGTCCTACGATAGCAATAAATTCAATTTTATTCGTAGGTTCCATCTACGAACGTATTACTTACTATACAGAAATCAGCTGCAGTATATTATTAAATGACTATAATGATTTCAAGAAACTGTAAATCGACGCATATTTAAATTGGTCATCATTGCGTAATACTAATAGTTGGCTGTGCAGAAATCAGGTACTGTGTGTTCATCTAAACTTGATAATATCTTGATAAATAGAGAATTGAATGTTACCTTTTTGAAATGTATATATAAGAATCGTTAAATTCGTTCATGACCCTATAAATCTGACATTTAGGATTCTTAAGACTGTCCTGGTATTTACAAATGTGGTCTGCTTTTTTTGCTTTTAAAATTACCGGATGTGTGTTTTTATATTTGAATTTTGTTAAAAGAATAATATAATGCTGCATGGAAATCCTTTTTGGTAATATTTAATAGTTTTTTAAAAATAAAATAAAATTTTCATGTTATTTTTCGTTTGTTCTGGAAATGCTTGATAAAAGCTTTTAAGTTTTATTGTATGGCTGAGTGTATGTTTGTTTGTTACTTATAGACTGTAGCATTATATATAGTAGATACATATGATTAAAAAGCGGCACAAAGAGCAAATATTTTTAAAAATTATCTATTATCTTTACGGAATCACCCTCAACCAAACATCTCTGATATCTTGGGTGAGTTTCATGTTTTACTCACACACACACAGACTCACATGAAGAGTTAACACTCAAACATGATTATGTAACCTTGAGTTAGGGTAGGACAGGTTAGATGACCTGACCATATTATCTATCTATTTCAATCTCTTGCAATCCTTCAAATCCGGTATCTGAACACAATATCACCAACAGGTGGTTGCATTTCTTACTTTTTATCGCATTTTAACTCTCGCTGGGCCCTTGTACACTGTACAGTCCACCTCCTATACTGGAGATATATTAGTCTCGACTATTCAATTTAAATGGAATAGATATAAAAAGAAAAAGCACTTTTCAGTGTGCGACTCTTTTGAATACTTAGCTGAACTTCAATATCTTTGAGGTACAGATTAAAATGTATGAAGTTCAAGGAATTTTAATTTGTTTTCTTCGGGAGTTGTTTAAATTGATGATAATACAAAGAATCTAGGTTTACCTCCCCCGCATTTTCTTTAGATTTTATCAGAACCAGTTTTTGGTTTACAATGTGTGGAGTATTTAAAAGTAAGGCCAGTCCTAACCCCTGTCATATACCCTGTTCATTAACTTAAATGCCATTTCGCAAAAAATAATCTTCAACTTTTAAGAGAAATATCGAAGCGGGGGTAAAACTTATGTATAATTTTCTAAGTTTAAGAAATTGTTTAAATCAAAAACAAAAATTTTTCATTTTTGGATTGTAAGGAGTAAAATTAACAGTGTATGTAAATATTATACAATTTTTACGATTCAAGAATATTACTGAGTTTTCAAGAAATGTCAACTATTCAGTGGGCTCTGTATACAATATATGTATTATAGGCCTGACAACTTGAATAGCTCAGGTATGCACCTAAAGGCCTGGATTGCTCTGGCACAATTATAATGGTTTGAATTCTGCCCATG